AGTAGTGTCTCCAAAGTTTTTGTGGCCTGAAAATTCTTTTAAATGAGCAGCTATGTGTGGGATGATCCCCCAGGAGCCCCCTGGAAATGCTCTATGAATCACCAGACTGCACCTTGTGACCAGAGGGGAGGGCTGTGCCATGAAGGAAGCTCAGCCTTGAAAGAACAGAATGGGGAGTGGAGCATAGTATACAGCAGTGTCAAGGCTCTTGCATGTTCTGTCACAAATCATAGTCCTGTGTGACACTCCGATGCCTTGAGCAGTAGCACATGGCCAATGTTGCATTCTTGCCAGACACTCTTCACTGCTCTTCCCATGGCCTTACCTGAGGACAAGCCTGTGTTTGTCCTGTGTAGCTGGGCCCTTCCACCTGGATGTGTGGGAGAGAGGGGTTACTGGTAGACCTCAGGACCATGTCCTGAGAGAATCACACTCAACTTGCTGTAATAGTGCTACTTCTTTTGCATAGACTTAAAAACAATCTACATACAATATTCATTGTCAGTTTGGAATGGTTCAAAAGCTTTGGCTCAGCAGAAAACCCACAGAAGCATGCTTTTTTCTCTCCCACATGACTCACAGAGGAAGAGCAAAGTCCTTGGAGTAGGAAGGACACCAGAGAGACCCAGTGCTCAGCAGAGCCTAGCAGGGCACAAGGCTTCCTGTAGGCTTGAGTGGTGTCCCCATGTTTGCCCTCCAGCAGGAGGCCTTGCCAATATGGACAAGTGAATCTGCATAATACAGTGCCCAGGCTCAGGGAACCTGTGGGCATCCCATGCACCCTGCAAAACCCTGCACTCTCGCCCTAATCTGCTCTTCCCTGACCACATCTTGGAATCTCCGAGTCCTTTTATGCCCAAACTGCCAACCATGTGCTGATTTTCACCAGTAATGTGTGAACTCCTCAAGACTCAGTCCAAAGCCTTTGTTTAAAAAATTAAAAAAGAAAATACTGGAAAACATGAAAAAATTTTAAGTACAGAAATATGGAGAAGGTAAGAAAATAAAATTGTTACAGGAGAGTAGTAATATTTTTGTCTTAAGGTTGTAAAGTTTTATGCTTTTTCATCAGTGTCCTTTTCCTGACACTGGAACTTTTCTCACTGCTGGCTTTATGGGCTTTGTCAAGTACGAAGAAGCCTGATAGGTTTCTCACCCTGTTCATTGGAAGCTTTTCCAGTCATACAGTCATTGCAAAGCACATACGTCTGTCAGGTCATGAGTTGCCTAGGCCACACAGGAAGGGGCATTTGTGCTGCTCCACGGGGCTGACCTATGAGCTGTAAGGGTTATAAAGATGCACCTTGCCTCCTCATGAAAGCTTTAGGCATTCATCGATCTTGATGCAGAAAGGTGCTTAACACTGTTCAGTTCTTTCTCATGTCTATACCACATGGAAAGTGAAGCTGAGAAGTCCTGGGTTCTTCATGAGGATGGACAGACAACAGTGCCTTGTGATGGGAATGGGGAACTCAGCTACTTCTTCTCATGCACATTATGGGGCTGCAGAAATAGGATTCAAGTTACTCTAGAAAAGTGATTGGGGACTGTGCCAAAGCCCATGTTCTTGGAATACCTTCACACACCTGTGTTCAGGTGTGCCCACATCTCCACTCTCCTCTCCATCTCACTCCTCCTGGACCACTGGTCTTGGTCTCCAGCTGGGCTTTCTGATCCTCCACTACCTGTCTTTGGCCAACAGAAAAGTGTCCTGACATTCACGGGCTAGAATTAGACTGTAGCTCTTCTCCACACCTTCCCCAGGATTCTGGTTTTTCTAGGGGGAAATCTAAACCCCTGTTTGGAGCCCACATATCTTGGGAGATCCTCTTGCCTCCAGGTTTCTGGCTTTATGTTAGTGGGTGCTGCAAGGCGAGGGTCTTTGCACTTGCTATTGTTGCTGCCCATGGGCCTCCTACCTGTTCAGGGGGCTGCCCCTTAAGCCATGTCTCCCACAGGAAGGAGACAGGGTCTGGAGAGGGTAGGATCTGCTGTCCCAGGTTCATTATGGCATCTGGACCAGTGAGAAGTACTTGTGGGTGCTTAGAGTATGCTTCCTGGTGGGTGCCAGGAACTGTCTTCTACTGTGGAAGTTCAGTCTTGACCACAGTTCACATTTGATTTTCTACCAAGTTGATGTGTAACTTGGGCATCCCCACCCACTGTCTGTCCCCCCCCCTCTCTGTCTCTCTTTCTCTCCCTCCCTTCCCCTCCCTCCCTCCATCTCTGTCTCTGTCTGTCTCTCTTCTCAGTTCAGCACACAGATCTTAGGGAGAACCCAGCTTTCCAATGAAATTTCTGACCAAGTCTATAAACCTTGGTCTGAGATTCCTGGGACCTTGGACCAAAGTGATCAGAGAGAACTCTGCACCCCAAAGGTTTTAGGAGATAGTGGGGCCAATGCAGAGATGGAAGTCAGAGAAACACATTTGCTACCTTTTCCGGAAGGCATCTTACTTCTAGCGGCAGACTCCCCATCTTGGATCACGTTCCCTCATGGATAAATCAGCCCAAGTCATGACTGGATGGAGAGTCTGTGAATGCTGAGGAGAAGAGCTGGAGTATGATGAGGCCAAAAGCTTAGCCCCACAGAGTGAGTGAGATTGGATCAGGCAGGCACAAACCCCCAGAGTCCTGAGAAAGTCAGACAAAGACATTACCTTACTATCTTCTGCTTTTAATTTGTTTCTCACCTGTATTACTCTTTTGTACATTTGACACAATACCTGTAAGACCACGGGAACCCAGATTCCGAGACTCTAGGCCATGGTTAGAGGCATTAAAGCTCAGTTGGTTGGTCTTCCTAGCTCCACACATTTCCCACCCCAGAGTTGCTTCTCTCATCTTTAGACTACTTCCCTGTCCCTCAGTCCTGCAGGCCACCCTGATGTGTCCTGTGTGGCCAATGTTCATCCAGAAAGCCACCTCAGCTTAGGAGAAGCTCTTTCTGTGTCCCTAGTATTTGATTCTAAAACTGTGACTTTGTACCTGTCAAAGCCTGCCCTAAAGTAGCCTCCATCTTCCTGTCAAGCTACACCAGGCATTAGGACACTTAGACTTCAACTGGGGAGAAAGGGTCTTTCCTGACTCCTCACTGGAGCCTGGGACTCTTCACTGTGGAGCACACAGGATAGGAGGCCAGAGCCTCTGCCATAGGTGGACCCATGGTGTCCTCTCTGGTCCCTCACCCAAGCCTGTGCATCTCCAGAGCATGAAGCAGAGCCAGTCCGAATTTAGCACTCACCTTCCTGAATAAAAACCTTATTCCTTTTTCCTTTGCTTTACCCAAAATCAAGCTCAGAGTCTTTGAAAATGACAGTTAAAAGTAACATTTTGGGCCTGAAGTACTTCTCAACTGTGAAATAAAAATCCTTTGCAGAGAGTCTTGTATATCACAAGGAAGTGTTTTATGTCACAACTAAAAAATAATATTCAGGGAAGACAGATTTAATATCTTGTATTTCAGAAGAGTTCACAGTTTCAGGGTATATTTTCCTTAAGGCATGAAGAAGTGCTAAAGTTTTTTATTGCTTTGTCTGCTGCTTCATCATGAATGTGTATTATTTTCTAACTGAAGACACTGTGTTGCTTTCCATCATTTTTTCGGGAGACATGGTTCAATTGGCAGCCTAAGCCCACCTGGGTGGACCCCCAGAGCTGTATTCTTTCTAGACACTGCTCAGTAATTAGAATTATCTAGTAAATGATCCTTTTCCTAGTTAGTTGTACCTTTCCTCACCTACTCTATGAAACTCTCGGGGATAATGGTGACAGGGAACCCATTAGGCCTGGGAAGCTGTACCTGTTGCACCCTGCCACCTGCCTGGTGCCTCCTCCTCCTGCCTCTCCTGATCACTGAGCTCCAGGCTGGTGCTCTGGGGCACTGTACCCTCCTTTGCTGCTTGCTTGTTTCTTTGAAGGTCAGCCCTGCACAGGCCACAGCCAAGCTGTCACTCAGAGTCAAGGAGGGCTCTTGGAGGTTTCGGAAAGATTTCTGACATAGTACATCTTTCTGCCATGAACTCTGCAGATGTTATCTTCTGCTTACTGGGCTGTCTGGAGATTTCTGAGGTTCTTTAGAGGGATCAGCTAAAGCCTTCCTTGTTAGAACCTGGTTCTTCTCTTTCTGTCAAAGTCTTCTAAGATCTTCTTTGTGTTTAACAAAATGCAAACAATAAAAAACTAAGTTTGTCACAACTGCCTTGGAAATTTACATCTGCATAGGCTAGAAGAAGCAAGGAATTCCTCTGACTTCCTGGTAGTTGCCTGGATGGAAACCAGTGTTCAGGCAGGAGCTGTTCCATGAGGGCCTGGGCAGTAAGGGGTTATGGAAGCAATGCAGGGAGGAAGAACCCCAAAATGACCCAGTGTCTCCTAAATTATCTTGAATTTTGTGTGAGGAGACAGTCTCAGACATAGTAGGGCAGAAAAGAGTTCAGGAAATCCCAAATGGGGGTGAGAGAGAGGAAGAGGCTGGCCATTGAATGGTACTTTCTTTATAAAATACACTGTGGAATGTTAAGCTTCAGATAAACTAAATTGCTGAATTAGTCGCAGGCCCTGAGAGCCCAGAGATAGCTCTCACCTGAGAGACAGCTGCCTCTTACCTCCTGGAGCTGTGGTTCTACCTGGTACAGAGCTCCAGAGAGCCATTTCCTGGTGAGATCCCGATGTGTTTCCTGACATTGGTGCCTTTCGTATTCGCTGGGAGAGTGGACGCTGCACTGCTGCTGTGATCAGTGAGGAGCTCAAATCCATGAATAATAATGTCACCCAGGGATTCAGTGAATGCTAGACATTGCATTTCCTCAGAGCCGTAATTCCAAAATCCATGTCCACATATGGCAATGAGTCTAGAAGTGTTCATACCAGCTCATTAATATTGAGGTGGCCCAGCACCTGAATTTCCAAATACTAAAAAAAAAATAATCTTTTTCCAACATAGACAATAATGTTTTGTAAATTGTAGGAACAGTGAAAAAGTGTACGTTTTTTTCTAGGTTGCCCTGGGGCCAAAAAGCATGAGTTTCTGACAAGCGTGTTGGATGCGCTGTCCACAGACATGGTCCATGCCGTGTCTGACCCTTCCTCGGCGTCTGGCAGGTAGGTTGCACTCAGCTACAAGGAGCCCATGTGTACAGTGGATCTGGAAAGTTCAAAGTTGACCCGAGTGTTAGATATTCAAGGTCAGCAAGCTTACTTGACTGTGGTAGAGCTGAAGGGAAAGGCTCCTCTACAAAACACCCAGTGTAGTTGCTGGAGTGTCTCCAGAACCAGCTATTTCCTCTCAGGCCTAGCAGTAATTTCTTTGTGTATTTGAGGACATTTTCTGCTGGGTATTTTAACATTTGCATCTCCTTAACACTTTGGTCTTCCATTCTTTGGCCCCCATACCCTTGGCTGACTCTTCTGTCCAACATGCTGTAAAGCTTTAGATCTTTGGCAAAATACACTCATCTTGTGTTTGCTAAAGAAGAGTTAGGATTAAAAAAAACAATGCTAGTGAAAAATATCTTCATCGATTAACAAATTAAGTAAGGCAAACATCATCTAGATTTGAACTTTTTGTCTTACACTCTTGGAAAGATGGCTCCTACCAGAAAGCTGAAATTGAAAGCTGTAAGAGAACTGCCTCAGAGAAGCAGCCCTGAACACTGGAAAAACAGCCAGTGGTGTCAGAGTGCTCTGTCCCTGTGGCCCGTCCACATCTTACTCACTTCCAGGAGGTTGAATTCACCAAATGGGGCAATGTGGGCTCAGGATTGGCAGAGAAGGGCAAAGAGGGCTGAACATTCATCCGTCACACTGGCAGGAAGGGGATGTTACTGTTGGCACAGCTTCAAGATCTGATCCCAGTGCCAGCCATTCTTGGGAGATTTTATTTAGTTTTAAAAATGTCAAACTTTATTTGCAATTGAAGTGAAACCATCTAGTTACAGCTTCAAAATTTCTTCAGTATGCATCTTTCAATATAAATACCTTTATGTGTATCCCACATACCTGTCAGGAAATGGTCATGTGTAGAGGGCAGACACCTTTGGCTCTAGTCACAGGTGCGTGGTATTCAGGATGGGACTTGTGTCCTTAAGAATGCGGCCAAGGGGACCGAGGATTTAGCTCAGTGGTTCTGCTGCCTGCCTTGCAAGCTCAAGGACCCGAGTTCAATTCCCAGTACCAAGGGCACAGCTCCCGTGCACACATTCCCTGCAGCATTTGTGACCCAGAAACTAATATGAAAGCTTTCTGTTCAGTCACGTTCTTAGCCAGGTATTCACAGGTCTGCGGTGGGGATGCTGATGTCAGGGAGGGGCACTGTGGGAGGGCAGCTGTGGCTTTGCTTGTGTTCTGACCTGGTCATGCCTTTCCAGGCTCTCCGAACCTGACCCGAGTCACACCCTGGAGGAGAGGGTGGTGCACTGGTACTTCAGACTGCTTGACAAAAACGCCAGCGGAGACATCGGCAAGAAGGAAATCAAACCCTTCAAGAGATTCCTCCGCAAGAAGTCAAAGCCCAAAAAATGCGTAAAGAAGTTTGTTGAGTACTGCGATGTGAACAGCGACCACTCACTCTCCCTTAGGGAGCTGATGGGCTGCCTGGGCGTGGCCCAGGAGGAGGGCTCAGCTAGCACCAGGAAGCGCCACAGTGAGCATCTCTCTGCACCTTGTGCTCTAGTTGTGATGTCAGTGTGGTGTCCTTCCCAGGTTTCAGAGATTGCCTTAGGGACTGAGGGTACAGGAGACACGAGCCCTATCCTTTGACTGTAAACCTTTGGTGACAGGCCTTAAAATTAACAGTAGGCCATCAGGGACTGACACCTTCTCAGGAGCACAGGGCACTGCAAGCCAGGAGCCGAGTGTGGCTTGGGTGCTCTGTTCTCAGTGGCTGACTTTTCAAAAGTGTTTTGCTTCTGATTCTGGAAACTGTTAGAAATAAGTTGCCTACCCTGTCATGGACTCCAGCCAGTCATCAGCAGTACAGAATTGCTGTTAACCAGACCATCTCAGCCAGTGGCTTTGACTATTAGCAGTTGATTATAGTCTTGCCTCATAACCAGTGGCTCCAGGCAGAGAAAAGTCCTAGGACAGGTGGAGTCCAGAGACCTATGGGCAGCACATGTGGGAAGGCCAGGGCCATACCTCAGGTGCCCAGCCCCGGACAGCACTTGCTGGCACAGACCGGTGGTGGAAAATCCACTTTGCTTTGTAGTGCCTTGGTTTTTGTATTTGTGCCCTGGGGGTGCTGACAGGGCTGGCAGACATCTCACATGGCTGATGTGTAGATCCCATTCTGCGATCAGCTTCCTTGGTAGAGCAGCAGAGAGCAAGCCCTGTTCTAGCATGCGTGTCCCAGAGCCTGTTCTCCAGAGAATGTCCTGGTGTGTGCTACTGGGTGTGTTCTCTGTGCACTCTTGTGTGAACCTCCACTGGGAAGTGGCATCTCCAAGCCGAGCTGGGTTGGAGCTCCAAGAAAGGTCACAATGGGGTCCTGAAGTCTGATCCTCTAGGGCCACCATCCCTAGGATTTGCTGTGACTGGCACTCAGCATTGTGCAAACAAATTAGGCTGGGGCTGAGTCTCCGTGGCTGGCGGCACTTCTTGCAGTGTCCCTGTGAGAAGTTAGTTCTGGAAAGATGGAGCCCCGCCATGAAGCTCGGTGTCTGAGGTGTCTTCCCGCCATCCTGTCCACTGGTGACAGAGCTGGTGGCAGTGGAGACGGTGTGCTCCTTTCACAGGGAAGCAGCAAGTATGCAGTGGAGCACAGGCAAGCTCTCCTGACTGCACTGTCAGATATGAGGGAGATTTAAACTGCTGTAGATCATTCAGTGTTCCCATTAGGCCTCTCTCACTAAACAAACACTTGCATCTTATTGTCTTATTTGTAACAACAACAACAACAAAGAAAACTTCAATCCCCCTCTTTTCCTATCAACCCAGATAAGCTAGTATTTGAGAAATTGGACATTTGGTTAAAAAATAGCAGCGGGAATCTGCATATATATTAAGTGGATATTTCAACTTTTTCATTTCCTTTGTAAGATTTTCAAACTTTTTTCCTACATTTTTCCTTCTCGATGTTACAGTCAGTTATTTTTCCTATCTTGTATAACTTGAAATAACTGGAAGTCGGTAACCACCTAAATATTTAGGAACAGACAAGTTTGACATACCAAGTATCTACCTTATTATCAATTTCTTTTGTTTTCTGTACTTTTGCTAATTATCCACTAGTGCATATTTTATTCTAAACACTGAGAAATCAAGTAAAGGCCACATACAACATGTGACTGTTTATTCTCAGTGACTTTGTATTGCAGAGATAGAACTCAACAGTGAAAGAGTGCGGATAGCAAGTGCTTCTTCCGCCTTCTGGTTCATTTGGACACTGTTTACAGGGTGCCCTTGACCTGTGCATTGTAAAAATGATAGCAAAGCTGATGCAGCCTGTGTTCTCAAGGCTTGTGGTCCAGGATGGAAGCAAGACACGGGATAAACGAGACACACACCAGTGCCCAGGGTGACTATTGCTAAGGAAGGGGGCGAGGGACCCACAGGGACATTGTGGTCAGCGTGTGGAAGTGCAGAGAGCTGGGCAGGGTGGGTGCATGTGGGCAGGCACTGAACGGGTGCCCAGCAAGCCCATAGAAGGCATCAAAGTAGGCAGGACAGAGGAGACCCTGGCCAAGGCTTTGAATAGAGGCCACAGAAGGCCTGGTAGGAAGGACTTGTCATCCAGAGGGGACGTGAGGGGATCCGTGGTCCCCATGTGCACAGTCCAGATGGGAGGGGCTGAGATAGGGCAGGATTCGCAGGTCTCTGTGAGTGGAGTAGTTTACACAGTGGAGCAGAGCAGGGAGGTAGGCTTGCAGAGCTGAGGGCAGCCAATGTGTGTGCTGGCAGTGAGGGGCTGTGGGAGGCATAGCAGGGATGGGGATTCCAGGAGTTTGCCCTGAGTAGCTCATAGCCAACAGCCTTGTCCTAGAAATGGAAGAAGGGAGGCAGTTTTCAGAGGGAAGGTAGGGAGTCTGCATGGTAGTGAATACTGTGATCCTGGCACTCGCAGCGTTTGAGGCAGGAGGATCACAAGTGTGAGCTCAGCCTGGACAAACTAGGGAGACTCTGTCTCAAAAATAATGAATAAATAAAATAAAATAAATAAAAAAGGTATGAGAGTGCAGCTCATTGTGAAGGTCCTGGGTTCAATCTGCAGTATAACTCGTAAGTCAATCAATCACTCAGTTACCAATTGTAACATCTAGTTTTCCTGTTCCCTTGGGATTGACTATGAAGAACCCAAATGCAGCTAGTGCAGCGGAAGCTAAGGATCTGGGCCCAGCCCTGCCCTGGTGGTGTGTGTACCTGGAGATATCTGGAAGAAATCTTACTAAGAACCATGTGGGTCACAGCCCACCAGCCCACGGGTGTGGAGAGGATGGAAAATGAGGCCCCAGCCACTAAAGGTCAGGGAGAAAGGAGGAAGGTGGCCTCCTGCAGGTCCGAGGAAACCAGTGGTATGGAGAATGTTCTGGAAGCCTATGAGAAAGGGAAGAGAGCCATCAGGTGGGAGAGGAAGATCACGAAGCAAAGAACATGTGATCAGGGAGCAGCAGAGGCAGTGGCTTCCCTGAGCAGTCTCCCCACAGGACTGGATGAGTAGACTGGGAAAGGAAGCAGAGGCCCCTGGCCTCTTCCACAGAGCAAATCGCACTGTTCCCTCTACCTTCAATTTCACTGGAAACCTGGGGAAAAATCACTCGGGATCAAACATGTGAATTATTCTTAATTTTAATATAAAAGAGTGTGTGTTGGCATGTGGCTTGGGGCTTCTTTCATACGACATGTTCCTTCCCATTTTCCTCAAGAGCCTTGGAAAGTCCTGGATGGTCATTCCCTGATTAGCAGATTTACCCTCAGAATCTGGACAAAATGAAACAGTCTTCTAAAATGGACTAGATCTTTTTTGTATTGTTCAGAAATGCTTGCAGAGTGACTTTTATAATCCACTACTTCTGGGCATTAGATAGATGATAGACAGGTAGGTAGATGCAGAGATACATAGAGAGGTATATGTGTATATATTTAATGTGAAAAAATCTGCAGTAGCTGACACTGTCCTCAAGTGGCATAGACCCCTTTCTGAAATCTTAGTGTATCTGTTGTTAAGTGAAGAGGGTTTGATTTGTAATAATGTGTATTTTTTTCCCTGTAGCCCCCAGAGGCAACGCTGAAGGCCCTGCTATTAGACAGGTGAGTGTATCTGTATTTAGCACTGCTAACCGGTTTCCTTAGAGGCAGCATAGATTCAGAGTAATGAGGACTTGGAAGAGACAGTACCTTTAGGAGGGGAAAAGATACAGGTGAGGCTCCCTGCCCTGAATGCTGCCTGGCCCAGTCCTACCTGGTATCTCCAAACTACTGAACCATTCATGTAAAGATTTTGCTTCATTTGTTGAATATTTTATTCTTTTAAGAATTTCTCCATCTGCTTGTTTCATAGACACAGTGGTTCCGATTTCTTATATTTTAAGAAGGTGGGAGGAAAAGGAGACACAATAGGGTACACATGAACACCCCCTTCTTCTAGAGCTCCAAATAAGACAGGAGTTCAACTCCCGCAGCTGTTTCCCTTTCAAGCTGTGTGTTGATAAACATGCGTTTGTGTTTCTAGTCCACAACTCTACACGTGCAATTAGAGGACACAAGTGTGGTGCCTCTCCCCAGAATCCCATGCCAAGGCCTAAATGGAGAACATTTTCCAGGAGGCAAACATGAGTGGATTCATTTTCCCTCCCTCAGAGGCAGGCAAAAGCCTTTCTTTCTGACCTGGAGTCAATTTGTTATTTAGTTTTTCTGCACCTGTTTGATGTCAGGCCTGCATTCCCTCAGGCAGCCCCTGTTTTTGTTGTGGGTTTTAAGTGGGGACCTCCAACACACACCTTGGATGTAATTTAAAACCATTTCATTTGGGAAAGATGTGTGATTCGTTTTCCTTTGTTCAGCAAATGTTTATGGTTTTAACTTTTTAAATCCCACTGCAAATCACTTACACTTGAAAATGCAGCTGGCCTGAAAGCAATTACCAGCTGTGACCAAAGACTTCCCGGGGGTTGTTTTTGTTAGATAATGGCAATTATGGGCACACGTGTGCTTCACTCAGTTTTAAATAAACTCAGCCTCTCCCAGAAAGAAAGCCAAGCAAGCATGGTCTCTGCAGCTTCCCTTAAGGTACCCAGGTACAGCAGCAGCCAATTTGGTGAAGATCTGAGGGCATCTTTATTATGGTGGCTGCTGCAACCACTGACCCCAGAGGAAGGGCTGGGATCTGCTGGCAACAGCAGGATCGAGAGCCCTGTGTGTTCTCTGAAAAGTAGGATGGTCAGCCACAGGAGCCCCTCAGGATGTGACTCACAGAATCTATGAAGTCAGAGGCAAGTTATCTTCCTGGCCTGGTTCAGAAGGGGTCAGAGCTATGCTCTCAAGACCTCAAGACAGGATCTACCCATCTTTATTAACTGGTGGATTAGCTTTACCCATAACTGCTTACAACAAAACTTTCACGGGGAGAAGGAGTTACAGTGTCTCTCTCCTAACCTCCTCAGTCTTTATAAGGGAAATGAGAGCCAACCCTGACACTGCCTAAACTTTAAAGATGAATTATTTCAAATAATAAGACAGAAGAATGTGTCAAATTATTTTGTAGGAATTGGTGCCCTTGGAAAAGTAAGTCTAGGAAATTGTATGCTGCTTTCCCTTTCCATTTTAAATGTCTTTTAATTGGAAGTTAGGGTTCTGAATTATAGCAAGAGATCAATAATATAGTAAACATACTTTTTACGTTGCATCTGTTCCTAGGTAAAACAGTGCATGGAAAAGATGAAAAGGAGAATTAAAAAACCAACTGTGCCTTTTTCAAATTTGAAACACAAATTAGATTACAAAATCATTTTTTGTGTAATGAATCCCAGGTGTTAGGAGATGCTGCAGAACAGTTAATGTATAGTGAACTTACAGTACTGTCTTTGCAGGAAATGCTACTTTTCTCAATTGATGCATTTTCCTGGTATTTTGATTATTTCAAGGGAGAAAGTGTACAGAAGGTCCTGTCCAAAATGTCTTCATAAATCCTTATAGATAAGGCACCCTTTCATTTCTCATATGCTCTTAAATACCGCTTTTCCCCTGGTATCAGACAGGCGATTTCATCCCCAGAAGCTGGCTGCAGACCTCACAGGTGGGTGGCACATACTTCCTAAGCTGACGACTCTTTGTCTTGTTTTTCAGCCCAGAAAGCAAGGATGAACCGCTTACTTACCCAAGGCAGTTCCTAGACATGTGGGAATCTCCCTCACCAAAGAGCAATTAAAAACCCAAACCAAAAACATATAGTATTTGCACTTTGTACTTTAAATGTAAATTCACTCTGTAGAAATGAGATATTTAAACAGACTATGTTAATCTGTGAAAATGGAAGGCTGGCTTCAGAAAATTAATCACATACAATGTATGTGCCTTCTCTTGACCGTGGAAAGCTGTGCCAGTGGAGATGCCTTTGTGTGCCTTTGAGCTGCACTTCCTCCTGACCCCCATCCACAGCAGCAGCAAACACCCCTCCTGCTGGAAGGTGAGGCTGCAGTCCTCTGCCCAGGCCCTGCGCTGTCTCCCATCCACTCGCCCAGCTTTGGTGACTCCTGTAACGTCAGTGTGTAGTGTGCTGCAGTTACTGTGCACAGGGTGGCCTGTTCCTTGGGATTTTGTGTTTGTCTACTTTGTTTGGCTTCCCAGAAATCTCTCTAAACCAAGAACTGTGCAACCACTAACTCCAGGCATTCAGGGCAGGCAGTGCCCTAATAGAAAAGAGCATTTTGTGTAGCTTGTATTACCATTGCAAGCTTCTTAAGTTTGGACTTGGACTCCATTAATCACATCATTAGATTTCCAGAGTGGCTCCTGCTGAGGGATAACACCCTACGGAGCCCCAGCTTCAGACAGGAAGGCAGGACTGGTTTAGTCTCAAGGGCTCAGGCCCCTGGACATCTGCTTCTCTTCCACATGGCTGTTACATCCTGCTGTGACCTACCCCTGGCCCACTGGAAGGGAAAACTGTCCCCTGAATAAATTAGTCTCCCAGAGAAGGCAGAGCCAGCTCCAGTCGTATCAGGGGTGTCACTTGGCAGCCAAGGAGGACTGCTCAGCTTCCTGTAGCTCCGTGCTTCAGGGGCAAGAGGACTTGCCTGCTGTGGGGGTCGTATGAGTGGACTTCGAGGGGACGCTCTGCAGCTGGATGCTCGCACTGAGCATCGAGACTGAGGTCAGCAGGTGCTCTCTGAGCCTACGGAATCCGGAGAGGATGGACCCAGAACTCAGTATGAGAGCTATGTGGCCATCTCAAAGTAAACTTCTGATTGGAAAAAATCTTCATGGTCTCCAGTCTCCCAATAGTGTCACACGTATGATGTCTGTGGACATTTGTGAAGATATCTCTTGAAGCCTTTTGCTATTTAAACTGTGCCAAGGTAAAAACCAAGCCTTTGGAGTCCTAATCCAGCTCAAAGCATGTGTCAATGTTGTTCAAGAAATAGTTACGATCTTAAATGTTTTGGATAATCTTTTATATTTCTAAACTTTGAATTTAATCATTTTTCTTAGATTAAAATAAAGTATGCTATCAAAACTGTATTTAGTCATTTCTTTTTAGCTGAGTACAGAGTTTTATAATTGCCTGATGATAAATGTGTCCACTCTACGGAGGTAAGCGTATGGACCCTTGGCTGAAGCTAGTCTGAATTTTAGCACTGCCTAATAAAGGCTGTGTGATTTCTGATGATTCCTGAGGCCTATTTGGGCCTCAGTTTCCTCTTCTGCAAAGCAGGACTGTTTATGGGCACCTCACGGGGCAGATCATGAATAGATATATGTGGCTGCTGGGAGTGTGGCACCCAGGATGTGCTCTTGCCACATAAGGGAGTCACCCAGGAATGGCTGGTACAGTCCTGCTCTTGGTTTTCCCTGTGTTGCTGAGTTGTTGGGTGCTTTGGTGTAGGACAGAGAATCAAAAAGCTCTGGTTTTAGTAAATGCTTTTCACTAAGACATACAACTAAGGACCTTGAGAGGGACATTTACCTCCTCCAGTCCCCAGCTTCTGCACCCTGCATCCCATCCTTGGTTTGGTTCTTCTTGAGCTTCCCTGTGACCTCCCCACCCCCAGGAACTTTTTAACCATTGGTGCCTCCTCCAGGATGCTCTACTCCCTCCAGCCCATGCCAGTTTCCTCCCATGCTCTGTCTCTGATGACCAGTGGTACAGTAAAGCCTTTGCAAGGAGAAGAGGGACTCAGGTGGAAGATGGCTGCTGGCAAGTACTCCTCAGGGAGATGGAGCTGCAGCTGAACTTGAAGTGGGTCAAACAGGATGATGTCCAGGAGGCTGGAGAGGTGGAACAAGGCAGGGAGGGGGTAAGGGGAGACAGCAAGCTGTCAGCCACAGTGCTGAGAATCAAGTCTGCAATCTGGAGCAGAAGCCTGTTTCCCTGACTACTCAGAGCAGGGCTCTCTGTGCTGGATGCTATCTTCCTGCATGCTCCCCCTTCTCCTGTTTGCAAAGGCTCTGGCAACTTTGCCAAGCACCTCTATGTGGAAGAGCTTTAGGAGCATGTTGAGCAGCTCATAGATCACACTCATGAAGGTCACACCTGGAGTTTTGTTTACAGTTTGGGAGTGAAAGGTGTCAGAGTTTTTGGACTCAATGTATAGAAATGACTAATGTGTTAAAAAACCACCAAGTGGAAAACCAAATGCAAGCAACAAAGCTAGTCCAGAAAAATCATAAGCATTTACATAAAGCTGAGTTCAGGGGACTGTGATGATTGGGGTGGTGGTGGTGAGAGGGAGGGTGTGGGAATCATGATGCTGGTGGCAACGGTGCTGATGAAGATGGCATTGATGATGGAGATGATGATGGTGGCTGTGGTCATGATGGTATTAATGACTTTGATGGTGATGATGAAGATGGTGAGGGTGGTCATGATGGTGTTAATGATGGTGATGGTGATGGTAATGAGGATGCTAATGATGGTGGTGGTGAAGAGGAAGATGGTTTTCTTCCAACTACTACGCTCCATTACATAGACCAAAATTTGAAAATCCTTGACTAGTCATATAGCCATTTTTAGTATTTCTTCATTCTAGAAATTTGTGTTCAATATCTTTTACTGTATAGTATTGTAGACAAGTCACACCAAAACTCAGCAACTGACAATAACAACTGCTTATACTTGTTCTTGCCTGTGTGTGTTGACTAAGTTAGTTAGCTATTCTGGGCTCCCTGGCCCTGGCCCTGCCCCTGGTATAAACAGGCACTGACCAATGTCATTATGAACTCAGATCTGTGTCTCAGGGCTGCCTGCATCACATAATTTTGAATCTCACCCTTAGGAGTGTATAAAAGACAAGGAACAATGAACACCAGACTTAAAAAGTGCCGGTCCTAACTTCTTACAAAGTAAAAACCTCAAAGAAGGAAACAAAAGAATGCTATTCATACCCCTCTATTTGTTAGTCATTGACTCCACTTAGAAGATACAGGAAAACAAAACAAAACAAAACAAATCTCGGTGGCCAGGGTACACACAGGTATTTTTCTCTGTTGGCCAGAAAACAGGCAGCAATTAGTGGCACATAGAGATCCCAATGAGCTCTCAGGTCTTCTGCATCTTCAGCAGAGACTACCTAGCAGTTTTATCCAGCTTGGAGGTGTGCGGTGCTTCATGCCTCATGAGCCTATAGGAGCAAGGGCAGAGGGCAGAAGTCAAAGGTGGAGTGGAACACATTTTATGCTTTTTAGCATTCCCAAGTCCCAGCGAGTACAATTCTATTGAGTGTCGCTGGCCACCAGTGCCTCTTCTGGCACTTGGGTGTCAGCTGCTCAGGACAAGGGGGTGGCTCTGCAAGTCCTTGGAAGGAGAGAGGAATGCTGGGCAGGCAGCAGCAATATCACATGGCCACCCTCCCATGTGGAATGATGTCTGCCACTTCCTGTGTTTTATTCCACCATATATATTTGGTGTGGAATAAATTCTTTTCTGTGTCCTGTAGACACCTGTCTGCTTATAGAGAGTTGGTAATGTGTACAAGTTAATTCAGTTCACATGTGTTGCACAGCAAAAAGATTTTATACATCCTCTTATTAATTCTTTGACTGCAGAACACATATTTTGTTTCCTTAAGTTAAAGTTGAAGTTATACTCAGTAAATAGGTTCTTTGCTGTGGAAGATGAAATTTATATACTCCCTACCAGCTTGGTTTGATACTGCCTTTGAAGTCTATGTGGTTATTAGCTAAGAGGAAAGATGGCTTTTATTTCTTCTAAAGTTCTTGAAAGTATACTTTGAATATTTTAGTTCAAATTTATATAATCACAATCTTCTAAGTATTATATAGAGCTAGACTTCACTATTTAAAATAAGTCAGGGCTGGGGATTTAGCTCAGTGGTTCATTGGCCTGCCTTGCAAGTGCAAGGACCTGAGTTCGATCCCTGGTGCCAAAAAAATAAAAATAAAAATAAGTAAAATAAAAAAATAAAATAAGTCAAACCACTGACTTTTCCATTTAAGAGAATGGTCTTCTGATTTGACAAGTATTTTTATTACCTGACCTGTTATGGCAAAATAAATGTGTTTCTAACATCACATGTCCCCAAAGACCACCTCTTAAGGCTCCCTAACCTCTAAGGACCACACTTCTACCACATGGGCCTTTGGGAAAACATTCAATATCCAAATTACAGAAAGGACTAAATGACACCCCATCATAGATTATCATTATTATGCCCAGAGAAGGGACTGGACCAGCGGCAAGAGCAGAGAGTGCTGGGAGATTTCTGGAGAGCAGCTGCTGTCCAGCAGCGTGAGGCAATAGGCAGCTGAGTGCCGTGAATGGTGTCACTTCACACGTGGGCACGCCCCTTTCTTGTCCTTGCAGCTTTGTCTTCACAGCGATGCCTTTGCTCCTACACGAGGAATTTTCCACACTTCTTAGCATTGCATGATTCTCTCACCAAATTTTGAACAATAGCATCACCCTCCCCTGGATTCTCCAAACCAGTCATTCCTATAACTTGCTATCTTTGTCTGCTGGCCCAGCAGAGCTGACATGGGGCTGGGGAATGCCTTTGCTAGTGAGTTTTGAGAAGAAGAAGCAAACCGCTATCTCACCACTTCTCTAAGTTTGAGAAATCATATATCTAGTATATTTATCAAGGATATACGTCTAGGTACCATGGTCATATTTTGGGTGAACAGTCACTATATCATTTTATTAGCTCTTAAGGGTGTAATGGTCACCACAGATTCCTGAAGGAATCTCATTTACCTCACAC